GTGGGCTATGCCAAGGAGAATTCCCCCGTCGGCACTGTCGTCATGTCGACCCAGAATCTGCGGAATCCGATCACACTCCAGGTGTTCGACCGAGACATGGTGACTGATTTCATCTCCCCCTTTTTTTCTCTTGCCCCTGAGCTATATAAAGGAAATGTATATAAAAAAAGTGCAAATGTAGGGAATTGAACATTTAATTTTGCGAAATAAAATTATGCATAATTCAAAAAAAAGGTTATTAAAAAGGACTTTCCTGAGGCGCATTTCCGTGACATTGATAATTATTAGAAGCATTTTTAAAAACATGATCAAGGACAATAAAGGCAAAGGTGGGGGATTTTGCATTGAATTTTGCGACAAGAATTTATGCAAAAATTCAGGGCAGTCAAAATAACTTTTCTGAGGTTCATTTCCGGGCCATCGAAGAACTTTTATAATGTATACGCCATCATTAGAAACGTTATCAAGAACATTAAAGGTGAATGTAGGGTTATTTAAAATATTCAATCGGGCGAAATAAATTTAGGCAAAAATTCAGGGAAGACCAAATAATATTTTTGCGATGCGTCTTCTATATAGACATTATTGTCGCAAAAAAATAAATGGTTGTATTTGTCACACAAAATCAGAGAACCTGAATTCTTGGGAAAATCCTCTTCCTTTATCTTTGTGAGAATCAAGGAAAACCTTGGTTCTCAAGTTTCTTTCAGAAGCCTTCAAGGCCGTCTTTTACTGCTAAAATCCGGTTGCTGTTTTTTTTTTTGTCCTTGATGGACAGTTTTCCTGTTTTCCGAATCTGCATGCAAACTTCACTTCCATTTGAGCTCTTGTGTGATTCACTTGATGATTTTACGCGTAAAACCTTTTTGTGCGTGATTTGAACATTCTCAAAGTACAACAACTTTAAAATAGGGTGAATTTTCACGCCGGTTTCAGCCCGGCCAAATTCTATTATTTCATTTTTATAAATAATCTGAAATTCAACCTTTTTTCCTCAACATCTATATTTGTCAAGGATTTATTCCTGACAATTATGAACCTTGATGATTGAAGCGCGTCTTTGTATATAGGAACATTCATCAAGAACACATTAAATGTAGGGAATTTAAGATGTAATTTTGCAAAATGAAATTCTGCAAAAATTCAGGGAAGTGGAAAAAAAACTTTTCTGAGACGCGTCTCCGCAAGACTTTCGTGAGCCTTGATAATTGATACGCATCTTTAGAAACGTCATCTATACTTTGTCTCTCTTGCTTTATTTTTACTCATTCTACTTGTTTATACCGTATTTTTTTAAATATTGACAGACTGCAGGGGACCCGATACTGAATTACAAATTCGAATTGACCACGACAGCCTTCGCTGTCAACACTGAAGGGGTTCTGGTGGTCAATGAACCGAACCTGGATCGGGAAGGACCCAACAATGGACGCTATAGTTTTCAGGTAACAATAAGTTTAAAGAAAATTTTTTTTCTGATGTATATATGCACTTTTTTAGGGAAGTATATTTGATTGACAGTAATGTCAGAAATTTAACTATATATATTTTTTTTTAATAATTTCGGTTATTTGATTGACAGTAATGTTGGAAATTTAACTATATATTTTTTTTTAATAATTTCGGTTATTTGATGGACAAAAAAATATGCTTTCAAAGTTTTCCATATAGGCAAGCTTTTTGGGCTAATTTAAAAAAGTGTCTTTCTGTATTATTTTTCGCGCTGTTTCTTACAAGAATAAATTAAATTGAGAAAAAAATGATTGACGGAGAAGTGGAGAAGGAATTTTTACTTGATCAAAATTGGAAAGTGGAATTTTTATAATAACAAGTAAAGTAAAAACAATGTCCAGCACCTATTGAAGTTATGGTCAAAAATTTTGTCTTTCAAAAATAATTCAACGTACAATACTAACTTCAATATAGGTTAGTGTCTATTTAATGTTAAGGCATAAATAAAACATAAGTTGATGTGCAACCTGTAGATAATTTGATCTTTTTTTATGTCAGCACCCAATTTCTTATTGAATTGATTGAACCTTTGACCCTATTTATGAACAAATTTGTTTCTGCGGGAAACTTTGTCTTGAGGTTATTTTCCTATTTCCGGTATATTTTTATCGCCTACTTTTCGATTTTTATTTTTCTTTATTTTTGAAGTTGTCTATTGTTTTTTTGCGTACACCTAATACTAGGTCATCTCCATCATAAGTTAGAAAGTCAAACATATGCACATTTTATATAAAAACTTATTGAAACTGGTTTTTAATTGCAGTTGTTCGCAAGAGAAATTGGAGGAGAAGCAGCAAGCAGTCCAGTCTCAATGGTTGTGCATCTTTTGGATGTCAATGATAATGAGCCAGTGTTGCCAACGTACCCACAAATCACTGTTCAAGCGGGAGACGGACGCCGGAACATCCTCAGGGTAAGAATATGAGAATATTTGGCATTTTTCTTGTAGGAAATGAGGTTTTTTGTAGAATAATTCCTTCAATTTGAGTTGTAAAATATTGAACAAATTATTGCAACAATGTATATCCACGTCATAATTTTTTTTTTTTCAATGGATAGGGAAAAATGGAATGTGTTGTGAAAAGTGGTTATAAATTTTTAATAAAAATTATTTGAACATTGACATAAACTTTTGGGCTACTTTTCAAAATTGAAAATTTTCAAAAAATTGTATCCAAAAATGATGAACACTGGAATTTAGCCATGAATGAAAATGAGATCAAATTTTTTTCGAACCTTTGTGAATATTCATTCAAACATTAATTTGAGGCTAAAATAATGTTTTTTTTTGCAGGATTTCGATTTTAAAATATGCAATGCGTGATCAATGAAATGAGGGAACACTATTTTTTGTGCGGAGGAATTTTTCATCAAATTTTCCTGCAAAAATATCCGGTTCACGTCTATTACTCAAAAGCGTGTAAAATCTATATTTCAAATTAACAATTTTTCTTTGATTTAAAATCCTCTAATCCGATAGTATCTCTAGGATTTACATTTTCGTACTGCAGATTATTTTAATTTTTATTTTTATTTTGTCATTCCTTTCGCTGATGTGTTTGAACAGATCCAAGCAAAGGACGAAGACGAAGGCGGGAATGCAGAGGTCAAATATTCCATTTACCACGTCTCCAACAATGGGAAAAACAAGTTCGAGATCAATGAAACAACTGGAGAT